CCCCCCGCCAGCCGCCCAGCCCCGGGGCTCACTTACTTGAGGAGAAGCGGGGGTCCGGGTTGGTGCCGTACCATCCTGTCGCCGAAGCGCTGTTCCTCATGGTGTCCTGGTAAGGCGGGAGCTCACTCATGTTGCCCAGGTTCCCATTGCAGTAGCCCCCCATCGTAGCATGGGAGAGCTGGGGGACCCCTGCCGCTGTCATATGGTAGGCGGCAGTCACTGTTCCGTTGTGGCCCATGGGGTGCTGCTGCATGGCCGGCTGAGAAACCTGAGACTGTCTGTAGGCTGACAAGGGAGCCCCCAAGTTACTGCCCTCCATGCCCACTTTCTTGTAGCTTTCCTCCAAAGGACTCAAGATGTCAGACACTGAGAAAGGAGTCGTATGCTTTGGGCTCATCGACATGATTCGGCGGCTGGGGAAAAAAAAAAAAGGAAGGGGAGGAAAATCTTTTTTTTTTTTTTTTGCCAAATATTCTGATTTTGCCTTAACGCCGATCTTGTTGGATGTACACGTAACCGAGTGGACGAAGTCCGCCTTAATTGGATTGAGTGGAGGCTCAGGGCTGCCTTTCGTTTGTTTTAGCCAGACGCCAGGTTTTAGGCTGCCACCAGAGGCGGGGCATAGGCACTAAAGCAACAAGACAATAGAAGCCTACATCTTGCCCAAGATAATTAGCTTACATGCTGATGACAAGGTAAACACCTTTAAGTTTTACTTGTCAGGATTTTTTTTTTATGTCTTAAAAAAAGAGAGAGAGAGAGACAGAGAGGGAGAGAGAGAGACCCCGTGAGCACAAGTCATTTTATTTTTTTCGGGGGTGGCAATATTATGGATGGGGAATCGAAGGCAGTGCAAAAAGCCCCATTTGGCTGGGTGAAAGGATTTAAAATCAGCTCCCGGGTGGCAAGGCTGCCACCCAGTCTTTGTGAGAGCTGGGGAGACGGGGCTGAATGCCGGTGAGCAGAGGGACCGAGCTCCCCTCTCCCCTCACTAAGTTTGATGTGGCAGGAGCACTGCAGCCAGGAAGGGCGAGCTCTCCGGAGGGCAGACATTTCCGCGCCCAGGGCTCCGCACTCCCTGCACGGGCTTGTCAGGTACCTCGACTGGCTGCTGGCTGAACAGCACTTGGGGTTTAGCATCTCGGAAACCTTTTTTATGTCTTCTAAGACCCCCAGTGCGAGACCCCCAATGAGAGGATCGTTTGTCTCCCCAAAACTATAAGTTCCGTACACCCAGGGCTTTTCTTTCTTTCTTTCCTTTTTTTTTCCTACTTCGAAGAGCAAGAAAATGCAAGTCTGCAAAGACGAGCAGTAATTCAGTTGCCTGAGGCGAGGAACTGCTGAAAAATAGGTTAAAGCAATATGTCGCTCGTTATTCTCAAAGGGAAGGAGTGTCACAGACTGTCGTGGTCCCTCTGAACCTGAAGCTGCCTTCTAAAGTTATTTATACAGCATGGGAGCTAGGATGGAGAAGACCTCTCAGGTCATCTGCTACACCACCTTACCAATGAGTTTCCTGCAGTTTCTAATAAAGTGCAATTTCTGGCACTTTCGGGTCTGTTCTCTGGTCTGATGTGAAAACAAAAGAGAGCCCATTCACAGCCACACACATGTACATACAGAGAGTAGCTACTGTCACTCCGGTCTTTGAAGAAATCTCCCAACTTGTCCAGTGTCTTCAAAGCTCACATTTCTCGGGTGTTCCCGAGAGAAGAGAAACCTCCCCTAAGTGTTTCACATCCTGGCCTATGGTCCTGGGAAATTCATTTAATAAAGCGATTACCCGAATATTAAGAAAATTGCAGCGAAGGTACAGTTAACCCAGTGACTTTGAAGTGTCAAGTAACTATTTAGTAATTGCACTTGTAAATATGTTTGTGCTCGGCTGGTTCGTGCTTAAAAATGCAAAAGTGCACTTGCTACCCGGGAATAACTAAATATCTTTGTCTAAAGTGGCAGCATAAATAGCCGGTCGCTTTGTGACTGTGCTTGATATTAGTACATAAGGATCATTTTGCTTCAATTGGGAGGCTCTCATTCAGTAGGCAAGAAACCGTTTAGGAGAAAGTAGGTTCCCGTATGAGAGTTAACATCCTTCAAGTGTAAGCCTGTGCCTTGATTACACTTTAGGGCTCTGCAAGAGGTGAGCTTTTCCACACAAATATAATCGGGGAACTTTCTTTCAATCAGGCCTTCAGCTCCTCTACATCATCTCAGCTGCCTCTTTCGGCACCAGCTCCCTCAAACCTGAATACCCCGAAGAGGGCTTGTGAGTCTGCTGGGTTACCACACGCAGCCCAAGGGCGACCTTGGGTTAGAAAGGTGGCTGCTTTTACCACATTCTCATTTCTTTTCCAAATCTTATATCTTGTCTGTCCTGGTCCCTGAAACATTTCTTTCCTCCCCCCCCCCCATCTCCCTCTTTCTGAGCTTATTTTTCAGTATGGTCTTTGGTTTTGCTCCTACGAAGAGAGACACACGAGCTGCCTTGTTTTTTCCCCCGGATTTCTCACCCGTCAGCTCCGTGCCTGTTCTATTAGCCTTAAAAAGGAGGGGATGGGTGGGGGAAAGGATTTACCAAAAGATTCACCAAAATAACTCTGCGGTCGACTCAAGCCTGGGACGAATGATAGCGAGTGACCGCACTATTGGTGGGGCAAGAGCTGGGGCAGCGACCCTGTTTCGCTCCCGAGGCCGAGGCGCGAGGCGGC